CGCCTCAGAAAATCGTTGGTAAGCCCTCCTAAAACTGGTAGACCGCGAAAAACCACACCTAGGATTGATAGGAAAATTAAAGCAGTTGCTCTTAAAAATCCATTTACTACTGCTGTTGACATAAAAGCTCAACTTGAAGAAGTAAATATTGGTGTCCACACTGTTCGAAGACGCTTAAGGGAGAGTGATTTACCAGCAAGGAGACCCTCTAAAAACCCTTTATTTCCAAGAAAAATCGGACCGCCCGTCTTCAATTTGCTTACGATCATTTGAACTGGTCAGAAACAAGGTGGAATTCTGTATTATCTTCTGATGAAAGTAAATTTAATTTATTTTCATCGGATGGCATTTTATGAGTAGTAAAAACAAGCGATTTGATCCTAAGTTCACTTTGGGCCCAATCTAACACGGAGGCGGGAAGGTTCAAGTATGGGGTTGCTTCTGTGGCCTTCAAATGGGACCCATCGTCAAAACTGAAGGAATTATGGACTGGTACAAATACTTGGAAATGTTAACTGATACCACGCTACCTTACGCAGAAGAAAACATGCCTCTACGCTGGCTGTACCAGCACGACAACGACCCCGTCACACAGCGAAAATAATAAAAACATTTTTTGCAGATCACAATATTAATGTCATTAAGTGGCCAGCTCAGAGTCCAGACCTTAACCCCATAGAGACCTATCGGATTTAGTTGATAAAAAAATTCGGACTGAACATCCAGAAAAGTTCAAAAATAGTGCCGAACTATTTGAAACAATCGAAGTTCCCTGGAATTCTATTCCAAAAGAAACAATAGATAGCCTAATTGGTTCTATGAGAAAAAAATTTCTAGCAATTATCAAAAATAAAGGTTATGCAACCAAGTATTAGCGTCTTTGCATACGACAATTGCTTTGTATATTGTTTCTCTACTTTTGCTCGCTGTATTTTCTAATAATAATTGTTAGCATAGTTTTATCAAAGCAGAAACTTTATTTTCATGGTGGCTTTGAATTACATGTTTAAGTTTAATAAAATATTTAAAAAAATAAAATGTTTCTCCACTTTTGCTCGGTACACGATTGTTTGCATAGACGAAGACGGTTTTAACTTTAAAAAAACACTCTCCCGCTATGGCTTATAGAAAAACTATATTTGTAAAAAACGCACCTTATAAATTCTCTAAAAGTTACGTTGTCTCCATTTTCTAAGTCTTTCTTCAAAGGTTTGGTACGAAACCTCTTGATTATGTGACGGCCGTATCTTGACTAGAAAAAATCGTAATTCACAAAGAATATATTCGCTGCATTTACAAGCATCCATCACCTAAATCTTAGCTCTGTATGAAGTATGCTTCAGCAGGTTACATTCATTGTGTTTGTCAGTTTATGTAGATGACTCAGTAACTGAGCTAAAGCACTGCTAAGATTCAGTTGCTGAGTGCTAGTGAACGCAGCCAATCTCATATAAAAAAGTTTCATCACCAGTCAAATAAAAATGGCGAAATAATGGTTATTGTTATGAGAAAATTATTAACAATATTATTATTAAGAAGTTCATATAGTAGAAAAACTATTTATAATGCCATTCTTCCAAATTTCTTGTACTGTTCGTCTATTTAGCTAATAATTCCATTTTTGAAAGACTGCAAATTTTACAAAGCAAGTGCATGAGAATAATACTGAATAAAGATAAATGTACTCCAATGCTTAATGTGAAAAATTTTATCAAATATCTTGCGATGATATGCATTTATAAAATGAAAAATAAATTTCCAATATGTCTAACTAAATAAACATCATCAAATGCCGACCATAATAATAATACCAGAAATAAAGATGACTTAGTTTAATGTCCAAAAAGTATGCTACAAATCATTAGTCGATCAAGGGTTGATTGATATAATAAATTTAATATAGAGATAAAAGACAAGAATACTTTCACAAAATTCAAAGTAAAATTGAGAAATCACTTGTTAATTCTACAATGATAGCTTGCTCAGCATATGGATGACCATGTGAATTTACTAATTCTAAGTTGTTTATAATTACTCTGTTTATGTAGACAAACGTGCTAAATAAATATTTCTACTACTGTTGCTTATTTCCTAACATCTATTCAAAATATTGCAAATAATGGTAACCTATTAAAATTTCGATATTTTGTATATTTTATGCAATGAAACCTGAAATGTTGCTAAAGCTTGTCCTAAATAAATGCTACTGCCAATGCCACTCACCTGAAAATATTTTGAGCTAGGCAATGTATCAAGAAACTTGTTCCTATAAGCAGATAGCAGTCTTTCAAATGGATGTCTTGCAACGAGGAACATTGTATATTCACGCAAAATTCTTCTAATTTCCGAATTTTCTAATTGAGATAGTCTAAGGGTGGAGTTTTCAGAATGCGCCACACTGGATGGAATGTCCACTAGGTTGGTGGCATTGGACTCCCCTGTTAGAACCATCAACACCTTAAAAAACAATGAAAAATAAACACAGTTTCACCTGAATAATGCAGACACCAGATAAGACATGAGTAAAAAAAACATCGAGTAGACTGACTGTAATTTCCTACTCAATTAGATTATGTTTTATTTCCAAACCATTGAACATGAATAATGTAGTCGGAGCGGCAGCACCCCAAACATGTGAGCAATACTCGAGGCTAGGTCTTATTTGGGCCTTTATGTGAGAAGGTAATGTGGAGAAAATACTTCTTAGCTCTAAACAAATAGCCTAGCTTTTTCCAAGCGGGAGTAAAACAAAAAAAATTCTTACCCTTTTCCAGTTGGTGCAAGCCACCTTCGGTACATAACAATACAAAAACTTATGATTTTTGTCCACCAAAATATGATCCAAGTCAGCCTTGACAATTTTTTTATGTCTGATCGCAAAATTTTCACAACCTATAGTGAGCTGTTCTTGCCTTGATATCTGCTCTAACCATGGATATCTCGGAATTTCTGAAACTATATACAGGGTGTTCGAAAAATAGTCGGGGATATTTTAGAGAATGATTCCTTGGCTCCGAAAATGCGGTTTTCAAGAAAAATTTATTAGTATCTTGTTTTCTAGATTCTGTTGAAATTTGGCAATAATATTTCTTATATTAAGAGGTTAACTTAGTGCTAAATAGATTAAAATGATTAGGTTCACTGGCAACCCAGGAGCACCTTATCGAACATTATATATTATATTAAATGCTCGCCATTTCCTTTTTTGTAACTTTAATATTTGTTGTTTGATTGAGCATCTAAAAATACAACTTCTTTGCCTCTTGAATGTTCTTCGTATGTTACTTCGTTTTCGAGAAAAAAAAATAAAAACCGTTTTATGGACAAAATTGGTGTATTAATTTTTGCTAAAAAAATTACAAGTGCATTGGAAAACAAATATATTAAAAATCTCTTAATACAACAAATAATACTGCCATATTTCAACAGAATCGATTATATTTAATAATTAGATATTATTTTTTTTCAATATATGACACTGTATCTTGAAAACTCCGCATTTACAGACCCATGTTTATAGAAACTTTTTTTCATATATTTTAACAAGGATCACACTCTAAAATATCTCCGTCTATTTTTCGAACACCCGGTATAACACTGATCACTGAATATTCAATATCCCATGTGAAAGATATTAGTTATGTGCACTATGGTACTGATTATTCAAAGAAAATCATATAGTCTAAAGACTTCGACAATTCTTACCTATATGGGGACTGATTGACAAAAGAATGAAAGATATCCATTTTATATCTATGAATGACACATCCATGTTGTGTCAGCATGTCTCTTCGTTATGAACAGACTCTTTATTCCTTAACCTTTTCACAAATCTGATTTCAGACCTGTTCACAATACCTAGAATAAACAACTTTAAAAAATCATTCAATTATATCCAAGCAAAATCAATAATAATAATAATAATAACTTATTCACATCAATTACAAATTGTGAATAAATTGATATGCCACAAAAGGAAAATATCCTTATATCCTTTTATGTATGTATATATATACATATATATATATAAAAGTAGGAAAATAATGAAAAAAATCCGCGAAAAGGAGGAAAGTGGATTCGAGCAGAAAATAGGATAGATAACCCGAGCGATACGTATTGGTTGGCTTTTTTGCTATTTTCCTACTTCTTGTTATACAGGGTGACTTTGAAGTTGAGTCATTAATTTTCAGATAATGATTGTAGAAGGAAGATAAACCAAAATATGTGTGTAAAAATTAAAAAAAATTAAAAAAAAATGTTACCTGGTTTTATAAAGTATCCTCACGACAAGTATTTCAGTGCGGACCTGTATTTGTTCGTGCGGTCTTGGAGCACCGGCATGCCCTCCTCTGTGAGGTCTTAAGTCACCTGATTCACGAGCCCTTTGTACTACATTAACAAAGGCACGAGGGGTTGGTTGCACTCGATTAAATAAGAATCATGTCCACAAGTTCAGGATTTTCGTAAACATGTGCCATTTTTTATTTCGTTTGAGCCACGCAACAAACACCACTATTCACTCACGCGTTACCGACTGAAAAATTGACTGACATCGTGATAAACGTTTCAAATTCTTTCGCTTTTTTGTTTCCGATGCGATGAACCGATAAGGCGGATTATATCCGTTGTTGCCAAACACGAGCACATAATATTATTATTGAGACAGGGCGGTACTCAAACTTCTAAAGGGCTATAACTTTGTTACTTTAATTTTACCACAAAAATGTTAAAGGAAAAAAACATTTCTTTTGATCAGATCTACTCACTGTTAAAATAAATGACTCAACTTCGAAGTCACCCTGTATACCTTTCTTCATATGATCATTTACCCTTTATATATATATAATCATTCTAACACAACATACATATAACGTAGAAGTTACAATAAATTGATTGGACTAAACAAAATCTATATAATTTAAATGTAATATGTACATTAATTTTGTATCATAGATTAGCAATGAAGAAAAGATATTTGTATGCTGGTTTTTTATAAATTACCTACATCATGTTTATATAAGTATTCAATAGCCACTCATATGGATCAGTTGATGATCAAATACAAAATAATATTTTTACATACCATATTCTGAGACCTCCTTCTTATCATCTTTCAAAACCTTGCCATTTTCAGTATTTTGTAAATAAAATGTTCTCCATACGTATCTCCAACTAATCTTCGTTCTGATCCTTTGTCTCTGCTGCTTGAGTGTAAATGCTCGCCTGAATGCCTTCTTGAGATCCAGCACTGTTGCACCTTTTTGAGGAATCTATATGCAAGATTATTTAGTGGTAAGATTTGATTGAAGGAAAATAATTAAAAAGATAATGATTAAGAATAAGTTTCTCCATGTGAATAAAGTGGTTTCATTTAAGGAGTACCTCCCCTGGATTTTTTTTTGTGGGGCACTTTTTAACTAGCGTATGCTGAACAAATACTGTTGATCAGTTACAAGAAAGAATAATACCACTACTGCCATCATAAGCCAAAAGTATTTGATAATTTCACATTTTACAGGATGAGAACGTATTGTAATCCTTTGTGTTGAAACATTTTAAGGAAAAATTTAAGATGGCAGTAAAAATGCTAGACCCTGTAAAAGAAAAATTTCAGATTTTCGGTATTTATCATGATATTTACTGAATTTTTTCATCAAAATATGCTTCTCCTACGTATCTTTCATAGTATAATGATTTTATCTCATTTTTACATTTTTTGCACTTACTGTCTTCTGGATTAAGACAGTGTATCTCCGCCTCTGGTGCACAGTAATTTTTGTAAAGAGGAGTATTGTGTATGTGTATTAAAAAAAATGTTTTTTATTTTTAAACACCACGTATCGTTTTAATGAAGTCCGCGATGAAAAAATGTTACATGGGAGATCCCCCTTAAAATGTGGTCCTGTGTATGATGTTTCATTTTTGGTCACGATTTATGAATCACCCTGTATGATTATGTCACATAAAGAATACTTTTCATGCATTTAGCAATATATTTATAATATATGTTTCAAATTACATATTCCTTTGCTTTCAATCAAATAATGTGAAGTAATTCTAAACTTACCACAACATTCAATGGGGATTCTGAATACCTGGTCACAGTAACTGTTATTGATTGACCATGAGCAACAGCAATTTGAGCTAACACCTCTTCAGTAGTCACATCAACCGGTAAATCAGCTAGCAATGGATCCGAAGTGATCAGTCTTCGAAAACTGCTCTGCGTAATCTCTAACAGGTCTTCATGAGACAACTTCTGGATCTCCTCATCTAGGGTTGGCTTTACTTCGTAATCCGACATTCTTCAAGATAAATATTGGTATTATTAGAGATGCAGTAATGTTTTTGTTAAGATAAGAAAGAATATACTAGGTTATCTCAACATTTGTTCAACATGCCACTCGATTTTTGATTGTGGCTTGTAAGAAAATTAATTAGCTATGATTAATGAGTCTATTCATATCTCATGAACTATGTAGCTTAATTACCTGCTTAATGGAATTAAAATGAAACCAGAATTTTTATTTGTAAACACAACCACAAGCATCGAACTTTACATAACCTCAATCTCTATCGTCAATCATCAAGGATCAAGGCCATCCTTGATTTCCGGGAATCCGAATGAACTTTCGAAATTTGAAAAAATATCTCAGTAGTAACACTTACATAAATATAGGAAAATATAATTCTCATTAATATAGGACGAAAATTACAATAATATAATCATCACACAACGAACAATCGGAATCATGTCAAACATTTCAATGCGATTCAACTTTGTACCTTAACAATATTCTCTCCACAATTACGATTGTTAATAAAAAAATTATAAAACTGTATTTCAAACGACATCAAAGTTGAACTTACTAGTCATATTCTTACCATTTCATACCATAAATGGTAACGTAAACAAAAATGCAAAAAAATGTACACACTCGTATAACCGCGCGTTCCACTTTTTTACGGTTTTAATAAACGGTGAACATGTTAAAAACCTGATATGTGGTGTGATGTGTGTGAATACACTTCTCAACAGGAAAATGACCTTCCTTGACGAAATTGTCAATACGTGTTTTTTTAGTTGAAACAAATGTTCCTCATCGTCCTCGGCACATCTAATATTACATCAGTTTGTTGTGTTGTAGCTATTATGTATCAGCTCAGAACAGCGCAAAGGATTTATTAATTGCTGGTCATTTCTAAGCAGTTTTTAGTCCAGTCAATATTAATTTGTTAGATGAAATAGTTTGTGCGGGACTTAAATATGTTATGAATTTTACCGTAAAAGAGCGACAGCAATTTATCTCTGTTTGCCGGGCCTTACGAATTTAATTTAAATGTGTTGAATGGAAATCAATGATGGACTATCTATCAGCTCAGAACAGCGTAAAGGATTTATTAATTGCTGGTCATTTCTAAGCAGTTTTTAATCCAGTCAATATTCATTTGTTAGATAAAATAGTTTGTGCGTGACTTAAATATGTTATGAATTTTACCGTAAAAGAGCGACAGCAATTTAGCTCTGTTTGCCGATCGTTACGAATTTAATTTAAATGTGTTGAATGGAAGTCAATGATGGACTATCCATATTTACAAAGTTTTACAGCCATGCATCATCTAGTAAACTATTATAACTAGATAATGTATAACTCACGTAAAAAAAATATAATTTAATAAGCATTTTACATCCCACTTAAACCTATATGTTAAATATCCAGCTTCAGCTACTGTCAAGTCAAGAACAAAATGAAAACTGCATTTGACATTTCAGGAATGTCATCATAAACTTTAATTCGGCGTACATTTGAAGACAAGTTTGAAAGTCCATCAAACATGCCTAAAAAGGACCGTTTTTGCAGCACTTCAAGACGTCTGTTCATTTATAACAGTATTACCCAAATGAATTGGCCTCGGATGGAAAAAATAACAGTCTCAAGATGCGCCTATACACTTTGTGAAATGAAAAGCAGTCGATTATGTCAGTATTGGAGGCTGTGCTGGAACGGATACATTGCCCAGTGCACATGATGACGCCAAAATGACGTCATTATTCGGTCGGAAACGTCATTGCCTAAAAAATTACGTCTTTATTGATGCCACCCTTATGACGACAACAAGATGTCCTTTAAAAGGCTGTCATTTTGACGTCCTTTTTAAGACAGTCAGTACTGAATAATCAACACTTACCTACAGATAAAATACAGACTTTTAATGAACAGTAAGGTAAACTAGATATCCAAATTATAATAACTACTTCACTGTTTTTTATAAAAAGTATTCTTTGAAGAAAAATATCTTGTCAATATGATTTTTCTAATAACAATAATCCATATCCAAATCTCCATCTTTAACCATGTTTTATTCCCGTAAATAACAAATGACAATAAACAAGTTTACTAGAATATTTGTAATCAAGCGAGGTAAAATCGACCTCAGATTACGTTATATACACGTCATACAGACGTCATAAATCGACTTTGTATTTGCGTCAAAATTAATAACACATTCAGTGAACCCCATATTATATCACACGGTGTACCTCAAGGCTCAGTATTAGGACCCATTTTATTTAATCTATTTATCAACGATTTGTTCAAAATAAATAGTACAGGTAAAGTTATCGGTTTTGCGGATGATACAGCTATTCTCTATGAAAGCAACCAGTGGCATACACTAAAAACCACAATCGAACATGATTTCAAAACATTTATAAATTTCTTTTCGGAAAGAACTTTGACAATTAATTACAACAAAACACACTATATAGCATTTTCTTGTAACGACAGGCTCTCACCGCAATTTAAAAAACTTGAAATTCATACAAGCAGTGGTCTCAAAGAGATTCAGTCAGCCGATAAAATAAAATACTTAGGCGTGATTTTGGACAAACACTTAAAATGGGATACCCATACAGAGTACCTTGTGAAGAGACTGAGATGTATTATTCCAAAATTCAGGTACTTCAGAGATATTCTAGATAAGAAATATCTATATAATCTATATTATGCTCTTGTTTATCCTCTATTACTTTACGGAATTTTGGCTTGGGGGGGAGTTATGAATAATAATTACAAAAAGGTTGAGGTCATCCAAAAATTAATTCTAAAATTGATCCTCCATAGGGAGATTACTTATTCAAGTGATTTTCTATATGTGGAGGCTCAGCTATTAGATTGCAGACAAATTTATTTTTATTGTGGTCTAATACATTATTTCAAATATTCAAAATACTTTAATCGTACCATTCATAACTACCCAACAAGATTCAATCAAAATTCAATGTGTATTCCACAAACATCAAAAACCATTACACAACGATCTCTGTTTTTCTTGGGACCAAAATTCTATAACTTCATACCAGAGTCATTAAAAGTAATTAAATCAAATAAATCATTTAAAAAACAACTAAAAAAATGGATTTTACAACAACCAAGGTACTCCATCCACGAAATTGTAGATCTGAAAAATCATTATAAAAATCAATAATATTTTACTTACACTAACATCCATACTTTTACTTCAGTTCTAATTGTCTGGATATTTTTCCTGACATTACCATAATAATTCACCAAATTATACAGTATTAACGGGTTTTTTCTTTTTTTTTAATAAACTGACTGTACTATTAGTTTTTATTTTGTACAAACCCAAACACAAGTGCAAACTTTTTTTGGGTGCTTTATGTTTATTGTGCACAATATTTGATATTTACTTGTATTTTGTGACAATAAACATTATTATTATTATTATTATTATTATACGACATACTAAGAGATCAAATACTTGACGTCAATTGGGTGTGACATGGCGACGTTATGACGTCACTATGTTCATTGGGTATTGCACATAAGGTTTATTCTACAACCGCAGCAATTTGCTTTATCCTATAGTTGTAAAATTTATACGGCATCCTAGTTCTCAAATTATTATACCTTATAATGCCATATCATGATATCATACTGAAAGTCCGATTGCCTTCTGAAATTTGCAGATTTAGCATGATTTTGAATACAATTTGGAATTTTGCTTTGGCCCTCGATTTGTAAAAACTTTCGGCGGCTGATACACTTTCACAATATACAAAAAGTTTCTTTTTGCTAATGTCTAATTGACTCCTTCCCCGGGAAAAAATCCTGTTGGCGCCATTGTTGTTTTACACAAATTTGCACGAACGTCATTTCGATCTAATTCGAGTACCGAGGAAAACGGATACTACATCAGAATGGACGTGAAATGAAAACATGCAATTTTATTCCTCGAAATGCAACACCAATATATTTTAACGGCTGTCAGGAATACCGCTTCTATTTTGAGGCATGGAGCCTAATTGGAGGAAAAGTATCAGGGTCCGTAGATTTTTTGCTCTCAAGAATAACTTATATTTTAAATCGATGGATTTTCTAAAATTTTAATATTTGATTTCAATATATTAAAAGATTCAAACTTTCGACGATATTTTTCTTTACATTTTTCTATTCCAATATTCTTTGATAGCCCAACATTCCCAATTTCTGCATTTTTGTCCTATATCGAGTGAAAAACCTAAGAAACTTAAGCAATAACGACAAAATGTCATCTTGTAGACTAGGTCTTAGGCCCGTATCGTCAGTCGTCCCTACAATAAATTGTAGGGCGCGTTCATGGCCTCCGTGATTGTCATACTCCTTTCTCGCCTTCAAAAATTTCTAGATTACACTTGTTCCGTGTCAGCGTCAGCGCTCTCCTATTGTGAAGATGTTTTCTTTTTAAATTGAAGGAAATTTCAGGCTGATAAAACATGATATAACTCAAAAGCAAGCACAACTTGATGCAAATAGATGTTTGTGATATAACCTCAAAATAGAGTTCTGACACGGAGAAGTAGAAAACTATGACAATCAAGGAGGCCATAAAGGCGCCCTAAAATTTTAGGGACGACTGACGATACGGGCCTAAGGCCTTCTTGATTGTCATAGTTTTCTGCTTCTTCCTGTCAGCGCTCTATTTTGAGGTTATCTCACAAACATATATTTGCATCAAATTGTGCTTGCTTTTGAGTTATATCATGTTTTGTCAGCCTGAAATTTCCTACAGTTTAAAAAGAAAACATATCTTCACAATAGGAGAGCGCTGACGCTGACACGGGACGAGTGTAATCTAGACATTTTTGAAGGAGAGAAAAGAGTATGACAATCAAGGAGGCCATAAACGCACCCTACTATTGTAGGGACGACTGACGATACGGGCCTTAGTGTGCAAATTGTTCATTCCTCGTTTGCTCGCTATGATCGCTGTGAGCGTCATCAAAAGCGTCCATCTATGGAGGAATTACTCAACGACGCGACACGCACAAGAATGCATTGTTGGTTGCAGAAAACCAAGTAGTGTTTATCTCTGAGAAGATGTGAAAGAAAGAAAATTGGTTGAGTAGCAAGATCACATCTGCATGATTATGTGTATTGGTCTGCATGCGTATAAAATCAGTGATATTTGCTATGTGAGAAAATGATTACTGAATATGCTGCCAGTGAAGTATATCTATTAGCGGTGCTTGAAGGGTTGTTTACATATTGTCTTTTCTGAAGACAGGTTATGTTCAAAGTTATAAATTACGGTTTTTTCCGTTTTTTTTTTAAAACTTTGAGGAGAATTACGCGAAATCACCACTGCGCCCGCGTTGTGTGTAATTACTTTTAACATCTATATATGACTTGTAATTCGACACTGTACACTGAATATGATTGCAGTATGAAAGTATAAATTATAAAGATTCCACTGAAAGATAATTACTTCACCAGCCGGGGATTTTGTTTTCTTAACTCTCATTTTTGAAATTCAACAAATTTGGATATGTAATTTCCAGAATGAATAAGGAGAAGTGGATGCGCAACTAATTTCTAGCTTTGTGTATATCTTAAGTAAGTGCATTTGAGGCAAGAAACCAAAGGATTTATCATCATTACAGATTATTACCACACAAATCCTCAGTATGCACTGCCGTTTCCTTCCAGCTATTGTATAAAACTTACAGCTTAGACCTCCAATGATGCCATATCAGGAGCAGATGTTACATCACATCAGAGACAAACATTAATAGCTCAAGCATCACAACGTTTAGGCAACGCGTACAGCACCAAAACGAGTACACAACAAGTATACAACAGCTAGTGCTAACTTGACATCTTGTAGTAAAACCTAGGTTATGTCATAAATGTGCAACAATGTGATCAGTGGTTCTGCGAAGAAATCAGAAAAGACACTTCCGATTCGGAATTGAGTGAAGATGAATAAATGAAAATATTTTCTGTATCGAAAGTTGAATTAAACCATGTATTAGTTTATTTCATTCATTAACTTGACAAAAAATTACATTTTTAACGTCAAAGTTTGTTTTATTTTAATTTTATCCCTTAAAAAATCAAAAAATGTTGC